TTCATCCACTCCTTCAACCTCTTCGTCTGCCTCTTTCATCAACAAATGAGTGGTGCAGCTTACCTCAGTGTTGTCTGGAGGCGTAGAATCCTGACGAAAACTCGCCTCATTCACACAAGTGTACGTCCTTCTGTAGTTACTCGTTTTCCCTTTGCCGTTCTTATGCAAGTGTTGATCGTAGTCGCTGCTTAATCTTAGGGAAGGAATATATGAATGACGAAATTCATGAATTATAGAAGATATCAAGATGAATAAAATAGATGAATATTATGCTAAGTATTTTTCTCTAAGATACAATTTAGCTAACAGTTTTGAATAGATATTATACTTTTTGATGCATAAAAGTGATCTTATTTTATTTTTGCAAAATTGTCATGTTGTCAGGTGGACCTAGTTGGATGCACATTGTCTAACGTTCCCTTTGATAATAGTTTTGATAATTCCTAGTATTCGACCGTAAACTCGGTACTATCGCAGACGTTTCACCGGCATCCTAATCGGCATCATCAGTGAGTCTCGTCAAAAGAGACAAGTGAACTTAAACCCGTGACCAACTTTCTGTAGAACGGTTGTGATATTCCTCCTCTTTCTATCCTCTCCCATCTACCTACTCGCTATCCTCATACCTCACTCCAACCCTATTACAACTTTTGATTCCTCCTGTTACATCATCACTCCTACTCTTTACTTTGCACTTCCCCCCCTCTCGAATTGTTGATCCGATTCCCCTCATTGTCCTGTAGTACCGTTTTTTATCTTTCTAATAGACTGATTGCACTCAATTCCAGTACCATCAATGAATTAAAAGCAAATTTGACTCTTAATGGAAAGAAGTTGCTGGCCCTTACTATCCTCCATTTGATACTGTTATGTGCTTACAAAAATAAATTTTTAATAAAAAAATAATTTTATTTTTTATCCTCACTACACAGGTAGGATGATAGAAGTAGCCTGATTTCTGTATGATGGGATGCATTAGAGACCATGTCTCTTGGCAACGCAAAGTTAGGCCGAGGAGAATAATCCGACTAAGGCCAGATGGCTCTAAGCAAAATATTGAGTTTTTAAATTGAATGCTTACTGGTTTGCGATTAATGTTGAGTTAATTGCATCACACTTTAAATCGCATAGAGATTCTGACCATAAACTTTTTACTTTGGCTGTGATTGCATTGTAAAATTTAGAGATTGCTTTTTTCAGAAGCTTTGACTTTTATGTTACTTAAATTCATCCGAATTATAGAGTTAGGAATACCTCAATTTTATAATTAGAGTCATTACATAATTTATCAATACCGCTTTCATAAGAACAGGTTTCCACACAAAATCGCTTAAAGCCCTTCTACTAGATTCATATGACTTGAAATCTTTGCCTTTGTAAGCATTCTGACATTTATTCTTCACAAATTAATAGAGCAATAAGCAATTAAATTCAATCAGATGTAACAATTTGGGTACTTATTTCTTTTAGTATATGACTACCGATTAGATGAAATGGATTAAAACATAAAACCTTTGAATATTTAATTGTAGGAGACTAAATAAAAATACTATTTCATTTTTGCACATATAATCTACAAGAGGTATGACCAGCAAAATTAAATTAATTGCTAAATACTGAATAAATAGGGCTTAATTAACGCGTTTGCCTAATGAGATTTGGATTTAGATTGGAGGCAAACTGTTTTATAATTGAAGTTTTTTCTCCTCTATCCGAATGACAATGTTAAAAGATTGTGAGAGGACGTTGACTTGATTACTTGTATCTTTTTTTTCTGTGAATGCAAGCCTCCAGGTAGCGTGCCATAATGTGCACTGCCTTAGTGGTCACTTCAGGGAGAAGTTCGTTAGCATCGGCGGCCATTTGAAGAATGCGATGCACATTGAAGCCGGAACGCGACATCCCCAACCTCCAGACGAGACACGGCAGGTAGAAGAAAAGGGCTTGAGTTGCGAGAACGATTGGTGCCCACTGATAATAGCCGAGCAAAGCCTGCTGTCTGGAATTTAACACAAAAATAGGCAGTATAAGGACGTTGTACAATTGGTTGTCATAGTATCGAGCCTAGTAACAATGCATATTGTGCAGATTTCTTGAAAAAAGACTAAAGGTAGTACAAATTCTTTGAGAAGGTGACAATATTCCTGCATCTATTCACCAGATACGGAACAGTTACCAAGCTTCAAATTCACATTTAATGACATATTAAAGTGATAGATAATTCCTCTCTAAAAGTTAATAAATATGACCAATTCAATTTAATTTATATAATTTATTTTTGGTATGTAAGTAGAGTTTTGAGACTAGCAGTAAATCAGTAATATAAGATGTATTCACCCTAATTCGTTTAAGGTGATGAAGGAATGGTAGCAAAAATATGTTTCTTTCATCGATAATCCCACTAAAGAATGTGATATGGGAAAATTCAATGGAAAGCATCAGCTCTACTCATATCGTTGTGGGAAAAATCAACTACCAATCCTTCATCACCTTAAACGAAATAGGGTGAATACATCTCATATTTCTATAATTTAACAAAATACCATATTCCACACTTCTTAAATTACAGATCCATCTTTTAGGATCCATGCTGCCAACAGTAAAGCGATCACCGACTTGATTTAATTAGGGAGACATATTCTGGCTGCAAAAGTATTTTGTAGTTTAAATAAAAATTTAGAATTGAGGAATTATTATTATCAATAGTGTTTTAAACGGGTTAACATTTATTATTTATATTTTTAGCCCTTTTACTCCAGGGAATCGAAAACTAGTGCTTTTTAGCATTAAGCTTAGGTCGGACTTAGCAACTTGACGACGAGGGAGCCATCGAGCTACAGAAGAAGGATTCTGTTAAAGATCGAACTAACATTTTGTACGATAATTATATTCACTTTTTAATATTTATATTCCAAGCTCGAGACTCTTTGGAAACTTTTAAGAGTTCATATGAAATATAAGTGCCCTATCAATAATATTTTTAATTACTCAAATTTCTGCTAACTCTTTTTATCTAAGACTACATTTTTTCCCTAAAGCTCAGTCATTGCATAATCCTTTGTGTTTATTTGTAGAAGTTTATAGGAGATAATTTATTTTGGTGTTTTTCCGGCTAAATAAATTTTGTGGTACCTCAAATTTCTGCGTAATGGGTAGATAGATTGGCCAACTAGTTTAGATATTACATTCTTGCCATTTTAGTATTTTTATTTCCAGGTTGAGAATAACAAACTAAACTTGTTGTGGGCTTTATCATCCTTATACTAAGGCCAACACTGTTTGTGCATGTTACTGAATGCGTAGGGATGTTTGAGTCGGATAATCTTGCCTGTTTTCAACGTGTATTAATGTACCATGACGAGGTAGCCATTATAAAGCCAAACTTTGATAGTGCATCTCAGTTTCTAATCAACAAGCCTTTTTGCGGTAGGATTGTAAAGATTTTATTGTGAGCCAAACGAGTTTGGCCAACAAAATTGCACTCTAACATTTAATCAGGGCTTAATTAATTTTACTCAAAAATCTCTTTTTATGTCAAAGACAGCCTATTCGTCTTAGGGAAAACTGGCAGCAT